CCCATTGCCCGCGATAAAGGAAGTAATATAACATCATTACTGCACTCAACATTTATGGAAGAATTATATTTTGCCTGAGTCTCCTAATTCGATACTTTTTAAACTTTTCTTCTCTTAAAATATTCCGTACACTATATATTTCATGTTAGACTCGCTGTTTTTATTGCAGATGTACGTTGAGATCTAGTTATAAATATTAAAGTTACACCTATGTTCTCAACCATTGAATGGACCTTTATATGTGAATTGCAGTCCCGAGAATGAATTCTCCTTAATTGAATCTTAAATAGTAATAATAGAATAAAAAATATTGAATTAATTACATAAAGGTGAGGCAAACAATGAATGTAGCAGTAATTGTGGAACAATGGATGAAACATCGATATTGCGAATAAAGGATAACTATTAGTAGGTTTGGGGTATTGTATACGCTCCTCTAAACAAGCTGTTTTATAGTGTGACCGTAGCCTTAAACAAATATTGAAAATAAAAAGAGGAATATATCCCCTTTACCTGAATAAGTAGCCAATAAAGGATCTGCCCCGTAGGCTAAGAGCAGGCGTACAATTTCTTCATGATCGTTGTCACTAGCCTCGTGTAAGGGTCTTATACCGGAATGTGCCGCCTCTGAATGATTAGCACCATATTGTAGAAGGACGCGTGCTATATCCAGCCAACCATTAGTGCAGGCCTCATGTAATGGTGTATAGCCGGCATTGTCTTTTTGATCCGGGTTCATACCTATGCGATCCAAGCAGTAAACAATTACGTCAATATATCCTTGGCGGGCTGCTTTATGCATTGTACTCTGACCGACACCCTTATTCAGAACCCATTTCTGTATCTCTCGGCTAACATCGTCTTCGGTTTTCACTTTTGATTCATCCTCGTCGTTGTCAATTTTTTCGTACCTCAACGAGTTTGATAGATTTGTTGAAACAATTGTAGAACAATTTGGCGTTGAATTATTATTAACGCTAGCCCCAGTAGTTGGTTTTTTCTTTTTACGTATATAATCAAAACCAGAACTTCCTTTTCGTCTCAAATATTTGCCACGTCGTTTCCGATATGTATGGCTTCGGGAAGAGTCGTGAAGTAAATCGATTTTAACGCCATCTTTACTAACACTACTACCACCTACACTGTTAACGTCGTCAGCATCCATCAAGCCACAGCTTTCAGTATCTTCTTCAGGTTTTGCATAGATGGCTGCTTGTTTTGGCGGCGCCAGTTTTCGAGCCGTTCGATTAAATCTCCCTAACTTATCTTCATTTATCACAATGTTCATCTGTTGCAAAAATTGTTCATATTTTTGTTCATATGTCATGCGTTCACCTCCGGCTTCATTTGATTGTACCATTTCAGGCGGCGCTGAGGCAGGTCTATCGTCACCTACAAATATTTCACGTATATTTTCGCGTTTTTGTTGCATTTTAGATTCTGTACGTGTTTTAGTTGGCAACACCTTGGTTTCGAAAATACTAAAATGACGCTTTTTACCACTTTGGGATTCATTGTCATCGTCATCGTCTTCATCGGAATCCTTTTTCAATGCTGGTAGCATCTGCAGTTCACTAGACTCAGTAGTTTGTGATGTCTCGCTAAACATGCTACAATTATTCGCAGAATTTGATGACCTAAACGTACTAATGTTTCTAGAAGGTTTTGCTGACGTTATGGTAGTATTTGACTTATTTCCATGCACCGCAGATGCCGTAGATTTAGTAACACGCGAGTGTAACATATCTATAAACGATAAATGCTCTTCTTCCTTCTCTATCTTAGCGGAAGTTGCTGCTTTTTTAACCATTGTCAGTGAATTTTTTTCTACACCAGATTTACGTTCAGAATTTTTGCTCTTCTTAACGCAATTATTTGGGACATCAACGTTTCGCTCTAAATCAGGTAGAGAAGCAGAAATTTTATGATTTCCCGGGTGTTTTATGGATATTAAACTTGGCGGTACTTTTAAGGCTCTTTTAAAACGATAAACTTCCATCAACATATCGTTTGAGCGTTGATCACTACACTTAGAATTTGGAGACTTATGCTTTAAGTCTTTGTCGTTCCAAGTCTTTTGCGAGTTCAATTGCTCTTTCGTTTTAAAAATGTTTAGGTTGCTGCCATTTTTTTCCAACTTAGCCTTTAGGCGAGTGGACTTCATGATGCCCGCTTCCCGACTCAAGCCTCCGGCATCTACTATATTCGTAACATTATTTGTATATTTTTTTACATATTTTCGCTTAATTTTTGTAGTAGAATTACGTATAATTTTGTCATTGCGTAAAACTTTGCTGTTGGCCAACTGCATTTCTAGCTCTTTCTTTCGCTTAGAACGTGTCATCGTGTTTAAATTGCTTTTTATAAATTTTGACTTGATTTTGGTTTTCTCATCCCCATCTTGTTTACTGGACTTCTTATCTTCCCTTTCTTCGCTGCTACTGTTCTCACTGCTGCCTTGGTTCTTGCTAACGTTTTCATTTCCAATGCTATCTTTTTTAACATCTTTTTTAATGGGAGTAGCTGTCGATTTTTTTGAGGAATCTTCCCCACTTTCCTCTTGTTTCTCTATGTTATCGTTTAGTATTTTAAAGCCTTTTCTTTGAATATTCTGCGAATTTCTTTCCCGTCTCTTCTTTGATTCTTTAGTCGTTTTATTGTCAAGTTTCGAACTTTCAGAGAGCTTTTCCGCATCTGTTTCGGTTGTGGAATCTGATCCACAATCTGAAAAATGATTCTTATCTGCCATCGAACTGGAATTACTACTATTGTTGCTTGTGTTTCTATTACTTTTTTCTCGTAATTTACTTTTCAGCGTTGGTTTCTTTAACCTTTCGGTTTTCCTTTTATCCAGCTCATCTTCTGACTCTGAAGTAGTATCTTTAGCCTTTAAACGTTCCGCTATACGCTTTTCTTGCTGTAAACGTTTCTTTTCGCGTTCAGACTTATTAATTTTTTTGGGTAGAGTTGGGGAAGTTTGTGAGTTTTGAGATTCAAACGCTAACGATCTGAAAGTCATACTAGAGTCCGCACCTTCAAATCGCAGAAACGAGCTGTGAGTATTGTCGGCTGATTCTATATTCGAGTAATTACCATCTTCTGATCCTTTCATTAAATTAGTATTTGCATTGGAAATTGCTGGCTCCACTTCGTCTAAGGGCTTCTTGTTGTTATTAATTGCCAATGTACGTTTCTTGCTAATAGTGGAACGGGTTTGTAGTTGCTCCATAAAATTATTACAGGTGTTATTCCATCCAAGAAGACTGCTTTCATTGAATTGATCATTCAATCCCGGTATAGGCGGTGAATCAATATTGGGTACGGCTACAATTGATGCATCTTGTTCAATCTTTATTGTTACCTCCTCGTGTTTATCCACAATAGGTGGTGAGATGACTGCGGAAGGAGTGCTAGGTATTGGTGGATTGAATGTAAAACCTTTTAGTTCCGCTTTAGTGCGTATACGGGAAGATGATTGTTGCACGCTGGGAGCAATTTCTACCTTGTTGGTTGCTACCGTACACTCCACCGTCGAAGTCAAAGGTTGCTGTTTGCAAATATCAACTGGTTTGTAATTTCCGCTATTTGCTTTAACGGTTGGCCTTGAAATGGTAGGTGTTGTACTTATCGGAGCCACAGATACAATTTCTGCTTGTATAGATTTTTCAGCTGCTGTTTGTGATAAACTTTCCGCATCATGACAGTTGCGTTCATTTACTGCTATTACCGAAATATCTGCTGGACGCATAGGAACTTGTGTTTTAATTGGGGATTCTATATGGCGGCTTTGTTTTTGTAGAGGTTCCATTCTTTGAGTATATTCTTGCAGATGACGTTTGCGACCCAAAAAATTTGGATTTTTTTCACAGGCTAGCGTGTATGCAGATGGTTGACAGCTTGAATTTGATGAGGGAGAGATCTGTGCAGCTTGTGGGTAAAGCGTTTTTGCAATTCCAGAACAAGACGTTCTAGGTGGCAGGGCCATAATACTAGTGTCTGGTGGTAATCTTTCCACAGCAGTTAATGTGTGTCTGTCTGAAGAATTAGGTTCTGTTTTAATAACACTTGTGTAAGGATTAGTTTCCAAAATAATTGGTCGATTTTGAGTGCTAGGGGGAGCATACCTATCAGCGTGCGCCGCGGGTTTTGAAGCAGTTTTAATGACCAGTGAACTTTCAGAGCTCATCAAAGATTTATTATGATCTGCGTTGCAGTCAACAGGTAAAGACCTGGACGCTGGAGTAGAATAAGACATCGCAGGAGGAATGTGATGGGAAACAATCGATTCTGATTGAGGATAGTTAAGTGTAATCGGAATTGGCGGATGTTTGGGCGGTGTGTAATTATGCCGATCATATGAATTTACTCTAGATGAAGGTGGTACAGGGCCGTTTGAGGTTGACGGTTCCATTGCATGCAATGAAAAATTTGGAGTGAAATCGACGCGGGGCAATGTGTAGTGACTATCTACATGGCTGGAAGAAGAACTGCTCGCTACTGTACGATTTGATTGTTGGTGTTGTTGTTGTTGGTATTTGTATTCTGTGGAATCAGCCTTTGTTTTTACAGTGCGCATTGAGAGATCCAAAGGAGAGGAAGAAGTTGACGATGGTATTGCCTTTTCATCTTCCTGTTTAATTATAATACCTCGACTTGTTTCAGGAATTCCTACCATTCCAGACGCTGCAACGCTGTGTGGAAGCATTACGAGTGATGTTAAAGGTTTAACGGGTGACAAATCATGTCTCAGAGGTTCACCACGATGTACCGAAACTCTATCGTCAGCTGAAGAATGTGTCAAATGTGGACCAGACGCAGGTATAATAGGAACTCTACTAGGGGGATTCATGGATACCGCGGGGGAATTTCGTAAAGCATCGACATTGAGAGCTTTTTTGATAATCTTCATATTGAGTTCATCTTCAGAAGTAGCATTTCTTATGGCAAGGGTACGGTTAATAAGCTCCCGATAATTTGGTTTTTTTTGTTTGCTTTGAGATTTTGGAAGAGCTCCGATTACGTTTGCGGATGATATAGTTGTTTTCGCGGTAATAGGCTGATGCTGTTGTAAATGAATAGATCTTTCATAATTCTGATGTTGCGGACTTACAATAATCTCATGATTTCTTAGCGTAGCAGATGTTTGATGTGGCGGTGTTTGTGCATAAGGAGGCAAAACATTATGCTGATGTATAGCCGATTGCGGTGGTGGAGGTCCAGTTTGGGAGGTCATGTAGTCATTGTGCTGCAATTGCGTTTGTGATGTTGTTGAGAGAAGAGAAGAAGGTGAAGGAGAAGCCGCTGTAGCAACAGCCGGGGATGGAGCGCTATGAAAGTTACTATCGTAATAATATCCTGTTTGTTGCTGACTGCGCTGGCTTGGTGCTCTACTCGGCGGAGGAGTGTTTTGATTAATTAAACCATGTTTACCCGAAGTTACCGTGTCCGGTGTCGACAACTTAGCATATTTGGTGGGATAACAATGCGGCGATTCTACTCGATAATTGGGAGTGGTCGAACCTGCAGTATATGGTGATGAGGAATTTGAGAGAGAGGAGGTATCTTTGCAATAGCTATCTGTAGTAGGTGGAGGTGTATTATATGGATTAACATAAATATTACGTGCTGATTGCACAGTTTGCGGATGACTTGTATAAGTTTCAATTTCTTCTCTTTTGACATACTCAACTATAGTATTTTGAGCGCTGGCTGATGGAGGAGCCAATAGCACTGATGCCTGCGTTTTCGCACCAAGCACGGAAGACTGCTGTTGCATGTGGGGAGGAGGCGGTGCTAAGGAAGCTTTAGAGTACGGATAATGCAGGTGTGTTTGCTTATTTATAACGGGAGACATTTCTGGCGGATGTATTTTAGAGGTAGATTGACTTGCAGCAGGATAATAATTGACTGGATTTGTCCTTGAGTAAGACGTCGCCGAAGTCATTGATGACGTCGATTGTAAAGTGTATTGCGGTGATTCTCTTTGTGGTGGATTGCTATATTTATCCGAATGTTGTTGTACTATAAAAGAGTTCCCACTAGTGGGTTGTATATGTAAAGGACTTTCTCTTAGTTTGGCGTATTCTGCTTGCTGAGGGGAGCCTCTGGTAAATTTGTCGGAACTAAATTGCGGCGTTGACATATATAAATGATGGTGAGGTGTATTTTGATCTTCAGGCGAAAAAATTTGCGGACATTTTCTAGCGTAGTTTGGACTTGGATGTTGATCCTTGGAAGCAGGTAAATTGCTAGGATTAATTACATGGTGATCGATAGGAAGAGTTCTGCCTGCAGGTAGAGCAGTGTTTAAATGATTTTGTTCGTGGTGGAGATGATGATGATATTGGGGCGGATGTTGGTGATTATCATAAAGTGGGGCGGTGGCGGCGGAAGCGCTAGGGTTGTATGAAACCTTTGCATTCGAGGAGTATTTCGGTTGTTCATAAATGCGTTCCTTATTGACAGAAGAATATAAGTTACTGTTTACGTTGGCCACGGAGGTTACGCCAATCGTTCCAACGCGGGGTTGTACGCTTGCGGGCGCATTCGTGAGCAATGTTGGCGGTGGCTGGTGATAAGGTACAGAGTGCGTTGATGGTAGAGAGCTAGTTTGACTTGACTGTGGTATTGGAGATGGCGGTGGTGGCTTATAACTTTGCCCAAATGCACTGTCCACTACAGTGGATCTCCGATTCATAGTAATATCAATTTGGGGCTGTGCTCTCAAACGATGATGATCATCCGCAAATGGTGCAGCTGCAGCAGTTGTTGAATTATGTGACCAGTACGGTACTCTATTACCACCACTTGTGTTATTGCCATCACTGTTAACCATGCTGGAAGGTTGTGTTTGTAAGATTTGCAGCCCATGTGGCTGTTGTAGAAACATTGGACTTTGCCGCAACGTTGTACGAGCTGGCGGAGCCAATGGCGGCTCTTGTGCTACGCAATAATCTTCTCTCTGAGTATGTTCATTTACAAGTGTTGTCGTTGTCCCCCAGTTATCATCAGCTGTGTTGCTACGACAAACATTGCAGATAATATTGCTACCGCTACAAACACAAGACTGCTTGCGTGTATTACTGTTACTGCTATTGATTGCTCTAGTGTTATTCGCATAATATTGGCTATGTGCTGTCATGTTTGGTATCTCTCGGCCATAATAAGCTGTCCGAGAACGGTTGTCATTGCTGCCCATAAAATCGTGATGTCGAGTTGGATCCATAGTGCTGTAGAATTCTGTAATTAAGATAAAAGTGAACAAAACTTGTAAACAACAGCGACGTTTCTTGATGCTGGTAAATCTACATCTACTCTATCGTTTAAAAATTCTCTTAAGCTAAGTTTTAGAAAGCTTAGCTGCCATTGAACTTTTTGCATCTATAATAAAGCCTAAGGCTATATATATGGAGTTAACAATACGGTATTCCCGCCCATTACCATCCACGCATTTAATACAAATAATTGGAAGAATCTTCAGCAGTCAACCTAAGTTTTAAGGGTGCATCCGAAAAAAAATGCTTTTAAGAAATATGTTGCGCTGTATTTAAAAATATCGCGCAACGTTTAAAAATTCAAATCAATCATGCTTGATTATGAAAACTCTGTATGTATTTTTTACAAAAATTACAGTCATTGAGATACTTTTCGCTTTGCTCGGCTAATTTACAGATTTCGTTGGAATTAAGGATTGAGGAGCGGTCTTAACAAAAATTAAACCGAAAATTAGATAAATGTAACTTTTATTTAACCTGAAATGTTGAATACTACATTCCCTCAATGGACTATTAATTGACATAATAAATAAATGAAACAAGAAAATTTGTAAAAAAAACATTTCCAAGAAACTAAAAACTCAACGACAGTATGCAAAAGTTCAATATGAAAATTGGAAACTAGCCTTAACTAAGTACGATCCGCATTTAATGACAATGGAGATTAGAGAGTCTGATAGGGATGCTTCGAGACATGCCTGTGAGCTTGGGAAAGCAAACCAGCTCAAGTTTCGCTAGGAGTATTCAGATATTTTTCCTACGAAAATATGCGTAAACTTATCTATATCATATATGTCTTTTGGAGATATTGCTAGTTTATATTAACCAAAATTTGTATAATTTAAAAATCGCATGTGATCATAATTAAAAAGCGCTATTGGAAAGGAGAGAGAAAATATCCCGAAAAAAAACGATGCTTGCATACTGAAACAGAAACAACCACGCAAATAATATAAAACACCAGCTATCTGAGGTAAATGAACTTTATGCAAGGTCGCTTTGATGTACATCGCTCATTGTAAGAAAATAAGCAAAAAGCAAGCGAAAGATTACACTCGACTCGAACCGAATCTTCTGATACCCACCATCTAGGTTATTACATTTAAAGAATATGATAAATCCTCATATGTAAATATAATAAAATTTATATTTCGTTAAAAATGTGACGCAATTTTATGATCATTGCTAATATCAATGATTAACTTTCAAATTTTATTTGCAATTGCAGTTATTATCGGGCATGTAAAATACATTTACGATAACGCTTACAACTTATAAGTAGGATAGGATTGTGTTTCTGCTACATTTCAATTTCATTTATCCATAGATGACTTTTTATAATATTAAATGCAAGATGCGGCTCCAAGTTTTATGGACTCAATTTGTTATTATTATTTTCAGACAACGATGGACTACGAACTGTAATCTTAAAATTACAAGTACGATAAATATATTCATGTTAGCAAAAATCGAAAACTGTTCAAATATTGAAGAATAATTAAATATTTTTACTTAATATAATATAATTCCTTTTATAACTTTGATGTGCCTGTACAACGTCCTTCATTATTCGTGGACAAACTTGAAAAGATTTGGCAATTTTTCTTAAGATTAATGCAAATTTTTTAGCTTAATCTATGAAAAATTCTCGTAACATTCTTTTAACGTATTACGGGAATTTCCTAAAAAATAAATATTTTACGGAATTTATTCAAACTGTTATGCGAGTCGATACTTGTAATGACACTGGTAGCATTGCCATCCCTTGGTGTGAATTTATTGCAGACACTTACTTTTAAAATGGTTTACCATATATTCCTAGTTACTAAGCATATTACGAAAACGGTACTGTGTTCGCCTGTAATGTGTAGACTGTCATTAACATCTATTCATGCTAATGTATTCTTCAAAGGGTAGAGAGCTCCACGTGTCTTTGCAAACATCCAAAAGTAAACTAATCGATGCTAAGTCTGTGAAACAATGATTTCTGACTACAAGGGCATAATGAAATGTATTGCAGAGAGACGAGACTTAGATCTATGCATACAACCCGGAAACAACCGACCAATCTAATGCATATAGTGCAAAAGATGAGCTAAGACCAAAAAACCGCCCCAAACTCGCTCAAAAATCAAGGTCGTGTTGACAGTTCTATTTAATTGTTGCTACGTTACATATTATAAATCTTTTTTACTTGTCCAAACTGTTGATAATGAATGAAATATTTTTTTTGTTTTATAAACAAATCCACTTTACTTTTGATCCCAGTAGCATTTATTTATAAGAGAATCTTTTATACGCATAGCCGAGACGTTATTCCTATTGTTACAGATATCTCAAATCGAGTTCGTTCCAACTAATCGATTTTCCCCAAAAAAAATAATTTCCCTAGAAAGGAAAAAACCCAAGTGCGCATATGTGGCGCGTCAAGCATCTGTCGGCCGCGGAAACGATTGATGCCATCAACGTAGGTAATAGTAATATGCTTGTAAAAATGTATATAAATAGACTATTTGCGGAAGGCAGAGTCAGTCGAAGAAGAACATTTGGGTCGAAAAATAATATTAGAGTTGAAGAGTCGAGAGTATTGCCACAGTAAAATGTAAATAGTCCTACCCTTAAAGAAATTGATTGTAAATAAAAGAGTCTTGTAGTGAAAACGTGCAAGTGTGTATCTCTTAAAAAGAATATCCGCGATCCAGTGATAAGAACCAAATCTAGAATTGAATTTCATAACACTATATTCATTTTATGAAAGTGTTTGCAATATTTAAAAGTAAGCTTCAAAGTACATGTATCCTTGATTAGTATCGACTTCCTAATCGATTTAGTTATGGCTGTTCGTCCGCTCTACATAATAATCGTTTTTTCGATTGCAAGATTTAAGTTATCGACTTCTAGATTGCAAAAATTTTGGAAGCATTTGTATGCAGTTTGATATTGAAAATGTGCGGGCTACTCGGAAAACACGCACTCGCAAACAAAAAAAGAAGAAGAAGAAGACCTTGGATTTCTGCGGTTTTTGCACATTGCTCGTAAACTACAACAAATATAACAACAAAAATTACAACCTATATGCTATGGGTGAAAATGTAGCACCTGCACGAAAATGGATAAAATCGGCCGCATCCATCCAACGTTATGAAGTATCGACACTGTTTTAGAGTTTTTCTTTACGATAAAGTTACTGGGTACGAAACGAAAATAATTATATTACTTATTTAAAAACAGTAGGCGTAGCCTGTATGGGCTTCATATTGTAACCACTTTTCACATTTAAGATGGATGCGGGTGATACGGATAAAAAAGGTTATAAAATTGCAGTGTTTAGAAAACCGACGGGCAAATAGACATTGCTAAGCGACTACTCCGTTTTTGATACTGATCACGCGTGTATATGCACTATAGTGTCTTTGAAGCATACTTTTATAGTTTATAAACACGTTTAATACGCAATGCTTGAAGATTAAGAAAGAAAATAGGTGACATGCCTTACACAATAACTTATGTAAGATGTGGAAAATTTCACAAAATGTGTTATATACTGTAACGTAACGTTGCCATTTGCAAATTTTATGTTTTTATACAACTCCTTTTGAAATTAAATTAATATCGCTGAATTGTGATTTTTAATATCGCACAGGTTTTATTTACAATTCTTACCCATTTACAAACTTTTTTTTTTTTAATGTTAATTACAGGAATATGTGCAATGTTTTTTCGAGCCTTTAACGTTCAAATGTTCTAATTCAGCTTTTTTGTTTGATTGACTTTGTCTTCCGCAAATGAAAAACATTTGAGCTTAAATTTTATGTGAAAATAAGTTTCTAATTCTTTGCTCCTGTAAAAAGTTATATTGGTGTTGCTTTTTTGTTATAAAAAACGTAGAAACGATGCAAAAAAAAAAATTTGTGAAGTGTACGGTGAGAATGCTGTGAGTGAACGAAGGACCCGGGATTGGTTTGCTCGACTTCCTTCCGGAAATTTCGATGTCAAAGATTCACATCGCAGTCTTTTAAAATGTCGATGAAATTTTGCAACTTGTGGAGCAAGACCGGCACGCAAGATGTCGGAAAATAGCAGAGGCACTAAACATCAACCACATAACAGTTTTGAAACGTCCGCGAAGAGCACTATACAAAAAGAAGCTCGAAATCACGGAGACTATCCAATATAACTCTTTACAATATTAACCCTTAAAAGATGATTTTTTTTAATT